ATATGGTTCGTTCATCCGTTATACTAATAAACTCCTTAGCTAAATCGAAGTTATCAGTAATTTGCTTATGTAATAGTAAGCAATGAAGTGAGGCAGCTGCTATAACACTAATAAGCTAGAGTAATTAATCAATTATCGGACTAATCAAACTTCGGACAGTTATATTTTGAAAACTAAACATGATTTTCCAGTGATTTTTGCACTAGATATAGATCATCACAATATCTGTTTGCATGGTAAAAATCAAAGCATTACCTTCTTTTTTTGTAAAGATATAATTTGCTAAACACACTTCGTAGATTCACACAATAATCGGCCGTGTTAACTCAATTTTCGTCACTTAGCCACAACGAAGCAAGCTTTGTTCGAAGAATAGTTTTGTACCACCAGAACTTTAGTACTGACTGTCTTCTTCAAATACCTCTGTAAACATCTTGGTCATCTTTGCTTACTGTTCAGGTATTATACGTTTTTAGTTAATTATCATTATCGGTCACACCCATCTTCATTAATTGCTGCAACAAAGCACGAGGCTCCTTGTTTGTATTTTTGTTTGGACTCATTGAATCTCTCAGCTGCCTTTTCTTATCATAAATACTACCTCTATTGAATGTAAGTCACTATAAAAACAAAATTTGTTTGTATAGCATGCAGTTTGTTTTCAAAGCTGCTCTATCATGTGTATAGCCATAGTGCATGCAAGGTGCAAATTGCTCAGGCTGTAGTTCTGTAAAATAAAGGTACATCAATCTAGCACCAAGCCTTTTCCCCATGTTTACATGTCATTGGTATGATAATCAATTTTTTATGTTTTTTAATGTCTTTTTTAGATGGCGACACGCCCATGTACATACTCTACATGGCCTGAAATAAGCATGACGAATGCTATCAAAGCAGTTGAAGAAGAGGGGTTGACAGTTAGACTTGCAGCGGAGCTATATGGCATTCCCAAATCAACACTTTATGACAGGATCAGGGGAAATGTTCAACATGGAACTAAACCTGGCCCAGTGCCGTATCTTACAAAAGAAGAAGAGGTTATTTTGGCTAAGTTTTTAATCAAATGTTCTCAGATTGGATTTCCCCGCACAGTTTCAGAAGTTCTTGCACTAGTAAGACAAACAATTCAGTCAAAGGGTTTAAGTGACGTCTCAATTTCTTATGGATGGTGGCAGAAATTTTGTAACAGGCACAGTGAATTATCACTTCGTACTGCTGTACCTTTAAGTCTTTCGAGAGCCATGGCCACTGATAATAGTGTCATACAAAAGTATTTTGATATACTTGAAGACACACTTAAAGAAAATTCTTTATTCAACAATCCAACTCGCATATTCAACTGTGATGAAACAGGACTCCCATTGAATCCTAAATCTTTGAAAGTTGTGAGTGGTCGTGGAGCTAAGAATGTCAGTCAAATCACTGGAGAAGGGAAGTCTCAAATCACAGTTCTGGCATGCACTTGTGCAGCTGGAGTACCGTTGCCTCCATTTGTAATATTTGATCGTAAGACCTTTAATGATCAGCTAATGGTAGGAGAAATACCAGGTACACTTTACGGCTCATCTCCAAATGGATGGATCAGTAGAGAGCTATTTTTGTACTGGTTTCGTAAGCTATTTTTAACGAGTGTTCCTAGCGTACGTCCTCTCCTTCTCCTGATGGATGGTCATTCTACTCATTATGGTCCTGACCTTATCAAAATAGCAGCTGAAGAGCAAATTTTAATATTTGTATTGCCACCCAATACCACTCATTTAACACAGCCACTTGACAAAGGGTGTTTTGGGCCATTAAAAACTGCTTGGAAGGCTGTG